TTAGTATTTCACCCTGTTTTATATGGCACCTTGATTTTATTGTTTTATACACTACTTTTTATTTTTATTTTATTTGCATTGTATTGTTGTTTATTGTTGTCTATACCTTATATTTTGTTTGTCTAAAACAGTTCTCTCTTATAAATGAGTCCTCGTGACTCAGTGAGACTAACCTGTATAAATAAAGGTTGAATGAATCTAGTTATTGTCAGGTAAATCCAGAAGAGACACTAATGGGCTCATCTTTAAGCCCAACCTAACAGCTGGGTTAAACATCTTATTTTTTACTTATTTGTTATTTAATAAACTTTATTTGTTTAGTTTATTAAGCTCCTTAAAGTTGGGGTTGGAACCCCAGCGTGGGTTATGAAACATCAAGTAAAGTACTTCTGTGTTCATCCATAAATGATGGATGGATGTATGGATGGATGGATGTATGGATGGATGGATGGATGTATGGATGGATGGATGGATGGATGGATGGATGCATGGATGGATGGATGGATGGATGGATGCATGGATGGATGGATGGATGGATGGATGCATGGATGGATGGATGGATGGATGGGTGGATGTGTGGATGGATGGATGGATGGATGGATGGATGGATGGATGGATGGATGATACTTCATGTAGTGAACTCCATACTAAAGCCAAAGTCCATGTGAAGCCTCTGGTTATTTCTCATGTTCGAAATGAAGGAGCCCATTGTTCCGTCCATCTGAATATTATCTTTCGTTCATTCAACCTTTATTTATTCAGGTTAATCCCATTGAGCCTCAGGGACTCATTTACAAGAGAGTCCTGAATTTTAACAAAGAATGACGACAGCAGTGGACAACAACGACAACAATATACAATCATAAAGGATGCATACAAATTGAGAATGACAAGTGAAAATAAAATGGAATTTTTAAAAAGTAACAAAAAACAGCTAGGTTGTAAGGCAGTGTAGAAAACTATAAACAACAACATGTCTGCATTGCGACAAAGTTCATGCTCAATCATCCAGGTACCAAATCCAGTAATTCTCAGTCGGGTCATCTGGACAGTTTCTTTTTTATAGAGACGTTTCGCCCTCTATCCGGACGACTTCATCAGTCAGAGGAGTTCCGAGAGGATTGCTGCAGCGGTTTTTCCCAGGAACTTAGCAGATGTTTGAAGCCACTTAGAGAGGTCAAGTTTGAGAGCTTCACATCCTTTTGCAAGATATTCCAGGAAACAGGAGCAGAGTAGGAGAAGGCCTTTTTACCTAGTTCAGTCCTCACTGAGGGAACACTGCAGGTAATAATGTCCTGAGAGCGCACGCTGAAGCTGCACTCACGCAGAGACATGTAGGAGGAGACGTATGAAGGCAGCAGACCAAGAAGTGATTTAAAGATGAAAATGTACCAGTGGGAGAATCTGTGAAGTTAATGATGACCAGTTAACCAGTGAATACAGAGTGCAGTGGTGGGTACAATAGTTGCAATCAGTAATGAATCTTAGTGCACCATGATAGACAGCATCCAACATCTGCAGGGTGCTTGTAGGAGCATTCATGTAAATAATGTCACCGTAATCAATGGAGGGAAGGAAAGTCACAGTTATAAGGTGGTTCCTATCATTCAGAGTTAGACAGGATCTATTTCTAAAAAAATAAACCCAGTTTTACTTTCAGTTTCCATGTTGGGTTGGATCTTCATGTAGATCTTGATGTGATGTTTAAATGAAAGTAAATTTTTTTCAGGAACTGTATGCATCGTAACATCCCTGAGGTGTTTCAGCGATTGTTGTACATGCTACACGACAACAGTGGTCCCATTCTGTGACAACGGAATGTTTTTACTTCTGATTTAAAGTGAAAGTTTTCGGAAACATCTGGAATTGTTTCAAGAGAAACCACAGCCCACGTGAAGTCTCACGTGCACTACAGTTTCAGTCAGTCAGTAGTTCGTCTGCGTATGTGTGAGTAGATCCACAATGGTGGATAGCAACTCAGCCATTCCAAGACGTTGGAGCAGCCAAGCTCGTCCTCGGTCCAAACGATCGTTCATGTAGTTTGGAAGGAACTGCTTTCATGCTTGAAGTTGTGTCTGCGTGCGTTCACGTGTCGATTTAATCACAGCAGCAACTAGTGACTATAGGCGAATCAAGCACAGCATTTCCATGTACAGAGAAGCTTGAAAGTTTCCAGAGATGGTTCACATGTAAACAACAAAAATGGACTGAAACCGTTCCTGACTGACAGAAACGAGCGCCCAGAGTCCGTCTGGTCGCAGCTTGCTGGAGGCGAGTGGGTTCATGAGGTGCTGTGGGCTGCAGCCCCTCACCTGGTGATCACACGTTCTGCTGTGTAGATGTGTCTATTAACCTCTGTGGGGGGGGGGGGGGGGGGGGGGGCTAATTGTATCTGTCAGAAGTGTTTAATCACCGCTGCAGCTCCCAGCCTGTCACTTTCCCTTCGTCTGCTCCTCTAAATCAGATGCTGTCGGCTCGCTCTGCTCCACATTCATCTTGGTTGCTTTAAGATTTACATTCACATGTTCGGTGTCACCAGCTGGGAGCACACCTCCACGTGAGGCCTTCAGCCTGTCGCTTCCAAAGCCAAGTGATGTGTATCCAGTGGGTCCAAAGATATTTCACTAACAGACAGACAGGGTTTACTCCAGCACTTGATGCTAAAGTTGTACACTAAGTATTTGCACACTGAATAGTATTTTGTGTTGTGAAGGACTCTCAGCTAAAACCACCACGAATGTTAACATATCTCTGAAACTGAATGACTTATAGCGATTTCTGTGTTTTCTAGGTCGGTCAGATGTGGAAGCCATTTTGAATTGTTTGGTTCAAACGTTCACTTGTGGATACTAATAATCATCATTTTCAGTACAGTTTGTGTTTCTGAAGCACTGAACACATGTTGACTCCAAATAGTGGCAGAAGAGCTTGTGGGATCTGTTGGCTCTCAGGATATTTGTTAGGAATCAGTATCAGCAACTACCACACCAAATATTAGGTCAGTATGTGTAAAACCATTTTAAAGTTGAGTTGGCTGTGACAGCCATCTTGGATTGATTTGACCCTGTAAGCAAATTAGTTGTAGATGTACATCCAGGGATTACTCTGACAGACAGACAGACAGACAGACAGACAGACAGACAGACAGAGGTGCTGTTTAAACAGTCATCACACTGGAGATGACTCAGCTGTTGCATAATAAGTCAGTACCTGTAAAAGTCACTAAGTTCTGGATATTTTTGTGTTTGCTTCGGTTGCTTCTCACTGAGCTGGCACTGTGATTTGCTGGTGACTCAAAACTGTAAGAAAATGAGCACATTTTCAAATGCGGTTTCTGAGTTTTGAACATTTGCGACCTAAGTCATTCATTCAACCTTTATTTATACAGGCTAGCCTCATTGAGCCACGAGGACTCGTTGTTAAGAGGGGCCTGTTCCAGACAGAACGTATAAAGTACAAACAACTAAAACAGTAGACAATAACGATAAACTACAGTAAAAATTCAGTTTATTGGCCACCAAGTCATGTGGCTGTATGTTGCTAGGACAGTTTTCACAATTACCTGCCTATTTTCACATGTACGGCTAGCAACACTAAATTCTAGGCTGGAACATGTTTTTTTTTGCCCACCTCCACCCATGATGTACCCACTGCAATAGACTTTTAAAATGAAGATAAGCACACATTAAACAGTTTTTCATAATTATTGTTTATCTTTAATGTGATTATTAGACCCAGATATTTAGGGTAGCCTCAAATGTTTACTGTCAGATGAGAACTTCGACACAGGTGTCAAACACAGCTTTAAGACTGTAGAATGTACAGGAACTAAGCAAACGGTGTACCCCAAGGATCTGTGCTAAGAACCCTGATTTTCAGTCTTTACGTCAATGACCTTCCACAGTTTTGTTATGAAGTAGAAGCCCAATAATAGGTAGATTAAACAGTTTTATTTATACACACATGGGGGCAGCTGTGGCTGAGTAGTTAGAGCAGTCATCCTCTAATACAAGAGTTGGGGGTTCAATTCCACCAGCAGTTACATACTGAAGTGTCCTTGGGCAAGACACTGAACCCCTCATTTTCTCCGATGTGTGTCCCATTGGTGTATGAATGTGATAAAGTACTGATTATTCTTTGTATAGATCTAGTAGAGTGTTGTATAATTGGGAAAATATGGCACAGATTGTAGTATAAAGTGCTTTGAGTATCTTGATAAGACAGAAGGCGCTATATAAATACAGTCATGGCGAACTAGCCCAACTTCTAGCTGAGAATTGATCCAAAGCTCTGGAGGATGTGTCGGAGTGTTTAGATAAATCCTATCTCACTCTGGATGTAAACAAAAGTAAAGTATATTTTTCTCGAAGATTAAATTGGATACTTAAATACAAAGATTTACATTAAAGATAAACAAACTGATATTGTGACAGATTTTATGTTTCTTAGGGTGTTATTGGATTCAAACCTCACATAAATAATGTCACAAACTGTTGGATAGAGTATAACTCAGTCAACTTTAAGCTAGAAACGAAATATCAACTAGACAAAATATATTTGTGTATACACTCATTGCACACATTTAATATTCTGTTACTTGTTGTGGACAAGCTAATTAATCAACAATAAAACAGTTAAAATCTTTATACAAACGGGCTTTCAAAAGTTTTTAACAAAAAGACCTCAAGATATGATCACTGTGAGGTTGTACAGAAATACAAGCGTCAATCATCCACCAGAACTTCCCGTTGGACGCTCAACTTTCAGACAAGCATCTTTCACTGCTCCAGGTCACACTGCTGTTCCTAGGAGATGTGCATCTAATGGTTTTTTGACGTTTATGTTGGTCAAATTGGAATATGTTGTCGCCTCATTGTTCCGTTTCTAACTGAATTTGACCAGAAGCTCCTGATCCTCCAGTTTGGGGCGTTCTGAGCCTTCATTAGCCTCTAAATGACTTCCTGTTTGTGAGAGCTGAGCTTGTTGTCTTGTCTTTACAGGAGGAGGAGGAGGAGGAGGAGCAGCTGCAGGAGAACGATTCTGTCACACAGGAAGCAGCAGAGCAGGAGGTTCCAAACTGAAGCTGATCATGGACTCCTCACCTCCACTCTTTGCCTTTTCTCTTCAGACTATAGCACAGAAAACTTTCTACTAGCCTCCCAAAGTTTGGACTCAGCCAGCAGCTCCACTCTGCAAACTTTAACAACTAGAGATGTATTTTAGAAAACACTATTCAGATGATGAGATTTTTAGTCTTGAGGGTAGAGTTTGTACTTCTTTTAGACGGGGCTAACCTGATGGACAGTCCATCTTCAAACAGTCGTTCAGCACCACAGATACTTACAGTCTGTCTGACGTGTCTGAAACTCTCTGCAATCTGTTTTCAGATGTAAATGATCAAAAACGTGTTTATAAAATGAAGCAAGCACATTATGGCAGAACTTCGCTAAGCACACCTTGTACCTGTCTGACATCATCGGTGCTTTTTATCTTTCATGTGACGGGCTGATTTCATGTTTTAATTTCTAATATATTTTCCTTCATTTCCCTCCCAAACTATCAGATTATTTTCATGCTCTCTTCTTACAGTTATGAAAAGTATTAAGTAGTCTTCTTATCTTACCAGCAGGGATGTCCCAGTCATGATTAGTTTTTACCCTGGTACCATCCGAGGCATTAAAGAATAAGGAATAGCTGATGTTGTGTCTCAGTATAATGCCTGCAATTTTCTGCAAACGTGGTTTTATCAACCTCAGACAGTTCTGGGAAGAGTTCCTTGAACTCGTCCAGCCAGACTGATGATCATTTTAACTCATGAATGAACTGAATCTCACTCTGTCGGTGTTGTTAATCAGATGATGCCGTTTTACAAAGTGCAACGATAGAAATACTAACAGGAAGTGCCCGTTGTTGGCAGGACAACATGATTACATGTCATTACTGTTACTTCGGTTCTTTTCTAAAAAATGCTAACACTGCTAACAGATAATAACAGTTTCCATGTCTGAAGAAAAATTATTTTCTTATAATTATAATCGCAAGAGTCACATGGCGGCTGCCGTATGGCAGCTGTACTGCAGCATGACTTATTGGATCAGGATCAGACCGTGCCAGAACTCCAACACCAATCAATGAAAAATACTTTGATCAGTACTCCGATACTTGTGACTGACTCGGGACATCTCTACATTTGTTTTTAATTTTGATATAAATTTGTAAAGTCCAGGTTTAGCAGTTTTGGTTTGGGAATCTTCTCCCACACGTCAGTAAAGCAGCATTTTACATGAATGTAGGTGAAACTGCTTCAGTCGTCTCGAACCAACGGCTCCGTGTGTTGTTCCTTTAAATCTACTGCAAAGAGTTAAACCTCATGAGTGCATTTAGTTCCTGACTGTTATGCTCATGTATCCATTGATCTGATCGGAGTCTGGCTCAGCTAGTGTCAGATGTTCACAGTATATTTGGAGTTAACCCCTGAAGTGCCAATAAATCTGAAGTACAGTACAGTTTTACTTCTCTTACTAATCAGCTCACAAATGTATATTTTTGTTTATTTGAACTTTCTGGTCATTTAACTTTTCCACTAAGTCCTTCCCCCACCTCATACTTAGCCATTGTCATATCATTCCAATAACCATTTACACCCATTCACTTACTACATGCATGTATACCAGCATACACCAGTATAGACACACTTAGGTAAAAGAAACAAAGTACTATTTCCATGACACTGATAAGCCAGACATTTTCCAGCGGTACCTCTGTACATTAAACCACCTACGCTGGGGCTTGTGTAATGGCTCTGTCAGGGTGTTGTTACTGACTCTTGAAGCAGACGCTGCTTCAATCAAACACAATGAAAACACAATTTTCATAACCACAAAAAAACAGGTTGAAAAAGTATGAAGCAGTTTCGACTCAGTGCACAGAGACCTGCAGCAGACGTTTCTTTGTACCAGTAAGTACCAAAAGTATGTGGTGACAAAAACTGCAGAGGTACGGATTGAAAATAAGTTTTGTTTGTTTGATTGTTTTTAATAGACTAGCAGTAAAAAAAAAAGCAGCTAAAGCTCCATACACAGTGGTGCTTGAAAGTTGGTAAAGTATTTTTAATTTTCTATTTTTCTATATAAATGACCTAAAACATCATCAGATTTTCACTCAAGTCCTAAAAGTAGATATAGAGAAGAACCCAGTTAAACAAATGAGACAAAAATATTATACTTGGTCATTTATTTATTGAGGAAAATGATCCAATATTACATATTTGTGAGTAGCAAAAATATGTTTTTCCTAAGTTCTTCTCTTGCTTGTTGAGCACCACAATGTTCATTTGGACATGTATCAACTCAGTGCACATGTCGTAATGTTGGTTGGTGAAGGTAAACCCAGGGGTGCAGGCAGACAATCCAGGACTCAGGAGATGAATAAAATAATTTATTAATATTAACAAAACAACAGCTGACAGGGCAGCAAACTTACATAATCTGTAGGAAACACAGAGAACCAGGGTGACAGGAAGCAATGCCAGGACGAAGGACTAACACAGAGACACAGACTTATATACAGTGACAAACGAGACAAAACACCTGTGAGGACACACAGCTGAACCACATCAGGGAAATGACAAACCAGGGAGTGCAGGAACAGACACACAACCCTAAATGGAAGCATACACTAGGAAAACACAAACCTTATAGAAAACAGAAACTGAGAAGAAGGACATAAGATAAAAAACAAAACAATATGGGGCTAAATCCATGAAACAGAACAATCCCTACAGCACACACACATATA